AGAGAGGAAGGGAGGGAGGGATGGAGGGAAGGAGGGAGAGAGGGAGACTTTATACAATTGGGGAGGAACATTTTACTGTCTTGGCCAGGGTAAATCGCTCTGAAATTTCTCTGGCCGCCTGTAATTATTTTTAAACAGTTGTTTGTTAATACTGTAATTGTCTTGGAATCACAGTGACCCCAAGGGGAGTCGGTGTAACTCAGACGTGGAAAGAAGGGCAGGAAGACTTCCCGCTGGAGACAGCCCCAGTTGTGAGGACTGCTGGGTTAGCACACTCCGCTGACTGCCAGCGTCCACCGTGGCTTAGAACGCAGAGTTCCCAGTCTCCAAGGCTGCAGGATTTTCTGTTTCCTCCGCCAGCTCGGAAGCTTGAAGTTCTTGCATTTCACTTACAGGCTGGAGACAGGGCTCCCCTGCCTCACACACACCTGGTCCTTTTTGGACCAGCTTCCCCGGAACCCATCCTGGGAGGAACAACTCTGCCAGAAAGTTGGTTTCTGCTGGGGATGGGCCTCAGGTAGGCCCCGGTGAGCAGCCCAGCAAAAACATCTGAAGTGGAAAATTCAAACAGATGTGGGCCGGCCTGGCCCCACCCCTTTCTTCTTGGGGCCCGCATTTTATCCAGATTAGTCTTCCTAATGGAAAATTTCTGCGGGGTGGGCTGGTGGCCCATGTTCTGACCCAGCAGATGGAGAGCGTGGGCCCCTTCCGGCCGGGGGCACCTGAGATCCCGGGGGCTCTGCTGCCTCTCCCCCAGGGACCGGGGCTGTACCGACACTCCGCAGCTCAGCTTCAGCTCCAGTCTGTGGGCCCATTCTCCAGGAGTCCAGTCCAGGAGACGAGGAGTAGCTATATTAAAACTATGGTCAGCTCCAACTCAAACTTGTCCAGGCCTGGAGAGGCGGCTCGTGGGTGAAGGACCTGAGTTTGGATCCCCAGAGCCCAGGGGAAAACTGTCGGTCTGCCGGGAGGGGACAAGCCCCGGTCGGGGCCCAGTCGCCGAGGGCCCGAGGGCCAGTAAGGAGTCCAGGCTCCGCGCAGAGGCCCTGCCGCAAAAATAAAGTGGCAAATGATTCAGTCCTGACTCAACTTCTGGCTTCCTTATGTTCCCCGCACATACCCATGCACACAACACACACACACACACACACACACACACACACACACACTCACGCCACCTCTCTTCAATCTCAAACGGAGCTTTTAACCTAATACTGTCCCGCACTGGACAGCGGGTGTCTGAGAGTCCTGCCCAGGCTCCCAGGCTCTAGCTTCCTCTTCCTCACAGGCGTAGGCACGGACAAGCCCCTAGCGCTGAGATCCCGCCCGCAGACCGGGCTTTTGACGGTGCGCTGGGGCCCGAGGGCCGCAGCCCTGAGCGCGCGGTGAAACGCTGTTTGGGGGAGGAAAGAGCCTGTTGGGGGCCCCACGCCCACGTCAACCGCGTTGGTCACCTCGCAAAAGCCAAAAGTGTCCTGCAGATGTGAGGATCCAGTCGCAAAAGTTCAAGCGCGCGTTCCCCGCCAGAGCCTGAAAGTCGCCCGGGAAGCTTCGGTTCCTGCTCCTTCCCGGCTTCTCCCGCCTCCGCTTAGCCATGTTTCTGCGGTCTGCGCAGTCCCTCTCAGCCGGCGGGGCATTCTAGGGAGCCCGTGGCTGAGGGTCGGGAATCCTCGGGGCGGGGGGAGCGTTAAACCCTCCCGCGGCCGCGGCTGCCGGAGCGCGCTCCGGGGAGGCCCGCGCGGCGGCGTGGGGGCGCAGCCTCCTCCCGGCCAGGGCCGGGCCGGCGGCGCGCCCCACCGGGCTCCAGCCCGGGCTGCAGGGTGGGGCCCTGGGTACCCGCGCCCTGGGTGCCCTGCAAATCGCCCAGCCCTGCGCCTGCAGCGTACTGCCCCCGGAAAGTCGCGTCCGGCTCCGAACCCTCCCACGCGAAGCGCGGGGTCGTCTGCGCTCCGGCCTGCGGCGACCTCGCAGCACCCGCCGCGCTGGTGTTTGGTTCTGTGTCTTCAGTCCAGCAGCCGAGGGCCTGGGTTCGCGCGCCCCGCGAAGCCCACGGCGGCCCACACCGCCCTGAAGGCCTCGGAACTTGGGGTTTCCAAAGGGTCCCAGGAAAGGCCAGGGCACCCGCTTCGCCTCGGCGCTGGGGAGGCCCAGCTCCGCGGCACGGGCCAGGCCGGGGTGCTCGGGCCGGAGCGGCGGCCTGCGGCTCCGCTTGCACGGCCGCGAGGACGGGACAGTGGCCGGGGAGAGAACGTGCCCGCACCGGGCCCCCAAGGTCACACCCCACCGCCGCCGGGAGGGCCTTGGGGACCGCGGCCGTGCCTGGTCCCCGCGAGTGTCCGGGGTTCTGAGAGGACCGAGGGTTGGCACGAACACCCGCCGCACCCACCCCGGCCTCCCAACGGGGAACACCCCGCAGGGGGCTTAGCCTGGGCTGGCCCAGCGGGGGAACGTGGACTCCGCGTCCCTCCGCTCCAACCGTCTTCAGCTCCGTCCCTGAGCGTCGCGTCTGCGACCCGGGGACCCTGGCTCTGCTGCGGGTCGCCCTGGAGCCCCCAAGTCGTTCGCCCTGTCCCCGCCGGGGCCCCGGGAGAGGCCTGGCCCCCGTGCTCAGCTCCCCCGCGTGCCCTCCGACCCACCAGGCGCCCACGGCCTGTCGCACCTCCCCCGAAGGCGCCAGTCTCCCCTTTCACCCCCGTGTTCCGAGAAGAAAAGAAGTGACCTCGGTGCTCGAGTGCGTGCGGGTGCGCGGTGGGAAAGGTGCGGTTTTCACTCAGGGGACCCTGTTCACGGTCGCGCGGGCCTGCGGCCTTAGCAGGATGCGAGTGTAACACAGCTCTGGGGATTGCCCCCCCCCCCGCGCCCTGGGCACTTGGCCAGCGGTCCACGCCGCGGGAGCTGTCCCGAGCCGCCCCCACCGCCCCTCCTGGGTCCCAGGCCCTGGCACTCAGCCCCCCGGAGCGGGCGGCGCGGCGCTCCCCGGGCACTCACCCCGACTCCCCTCCGGGCCCGGGAGCGCGCGGGTCTCGGGTGGAACGGTCCCGGGAGGCCGCGCGGAGGCGCGCCGGCAACCCCGGGGCCGCGGCGGGGTCGGAGGCGACGCTGCCTGCCCCCCGCGCCCCTCCCCC